AATGCTTTGAAAAACCTGAAAAATTAAAAAAAAAAGCACGAGCAACTTAAGAATAGTTTTAAAAGATTTTAATTAAATAATTCAAAATTTTATTGAGCAAAGATGATGCTTAGATAAAATTTCTCCCCATTATTTCGATTTCCCTGCAACTGAAAAACAGTTTTTGCTAATCCAAACCTGAACCTTTAGCGTTCCTTTGAATGATTACAAAGCTGTGAATCCTCTGTGACTCATTTTGCCTGTGGCAGCGTCAAATGAACAATGCTGTCAAACCACCATACAGTAGCATTTAAGTTTACTTTTTACAGATCTTCAGCCTTTTTAGGACTTTCACTGTAAAAGCCACGTGAACAAGGACAACAAAGGGCACCAGAAAAAAGCAGGAAGTGTGAACAAGTGGCTAGTACTTGCAGAGAAGCAGTCATAAAAGAAATGTGCCTTCTTAGTCTACAAAGCTTAGTGCAAGGTCTGCATATTTTGTGCCCAACTAGGTCTAATGTGCACAGCACATCTTTTAATATTATAGTCAAGCAAAGTCATTTCCTGATGGCTGGTCACAAGAAGGTCACAATGACAGTTGCAGGACTGTCAGCTGGAGCTGAACTGCAAATTTTTCCACTGCTGGGCAAGCAGAAATTGTACTGAGTAAGGTAAATATAATACATGAATGACAACACAAAAGGTTCAAAGTGGAAATTTGCTTTGGAAAACAAAATCCACGGAGAAATGTGGATTAGACAGAAACCTTTAAAAAAATGCATAAATTACTTCTCGTCTTCAGGTACCACAAAGGCAGTGATTGTCAATATAAATAAGCTCACTCCAAAGATTTTGTCTTTTCTTTGGATCACATGGAGTCACGATGAGAGGTCTCAAGCTGCAGGTGTTTGATACTGGAGCCAGCCAGCATAAGGCCATGTGAACAGCAGTCAAATGCTGCACCTGACAATTTTAAACCACCTTGAAAGCATAAATACATCTGAGAAACCACACAGCATGAAATACAGGACACTTTGAAAGGTTTCTGAATGAATACTGCTGAGATGTATTTGAAAAGGCCCAGAAGCTGCCATACATTAGCAGGACTGTTCACTCAAGAAAATGTTGGACCCATGCAGTGGAGCAGATTCAGAAGTCAGTGTCAAAACAATACGACTCCCTGCACTGCTCAACCACAATGGACTTTTACGGTACTCCTTTCAAATAGTTTTAGAAAAATAGCCACGTAGAACTTTCCTTTAAAGAAAAAGAAACACACTGCTTCTGTTGAGTTATTGAGACTTGGCAAATCTATTAGGAGACTAAATGAAAGCAATGCTGGCTGTGTTTTCTACTAAATAAGGATTTTGACACCATGGTGGCAAACCCCAAATCTTCTCAAAGTGCTTAAAGTTTAATATGACATTTTTGAAAGAACTGATGCTCTGTTGTGGGTAATGAAAAAAAAACAGAGGCAGCAAAACTAAACTATTTTAGGTTGTTTAAAGGGCTGAAATCATGTTACTTATAGCTGGTGTTACCACCAGCGAGTCTGCGGTTGCCACCCCTCGCCCCCTCCTCAAATCTTTGGATTTGTGAGGCCATAACTGGCCGTGCCAACTTATCAAAAGCAGCTTTCATTTGCTAATGCAAGTCAGAGTAAAAGACCCTTGATCGTTATCGGGTTTAATTCTAGTTAGATCTTGTTTGGCACAACACAACCTTGTCTAAATTACCAAAATACAAGGTCTTCCTTTCCAATAACTTATAAGTTAATATGTTCCAGTACTTAAAAGGCAAAAATCCATTAACTGACTTTGGGGTCGGCATTTATTGTATCATTTACCGTGATAAATTTCATGTCATAATAAGAATTTTGATTTGAGTTATCATTGTCATAGTCATTTCAAATTAATGTTTTGAAAAAATAAACAGTTGATTTTATCAAGATTATTATTTTACAATTTTCTCTACTGCTTGTTCAATGTGTGCATTAATTAATATGACATTAAACACAGTTACTATGTACTATTAGGACACTATAACATTCATTTCATCCATAAAATGGCCAAAATTTCACACAGGCAAATATCATTAGAAGCACATGATAAGGGCATTCGTAAACGTCCTTTGTAAAAGTTGTGTCTCATTTAAATCACATACATTTAATTTGGTGTGCTCGTGAAGTAAGAGGGAAGAGAGATTTCTGATGTCTTCAAAAAGCAAACTTGACCATTTATTGTATTACTAATAGATTTTAAAAGTCTTAAAGATATTTTAAAATCAGTCATCTCTTTGTACAAAAAAAAAAAAATAAAGTCTCCAGGTGAAGGAAATCCAAAACAACATCCAAGCAAAATTAGATAGAGCGGACTGTAACATGCTACCAAAAGTCTCCGAAACCCCCACAATGTCAATGACAGAGCAACTACACTCTGGCTACTATTGATATCAACTTCCATCCCTTGAAGAAGGAATGGAAAGAGTTGAATTTTGCTGAAATGTTGAGGGATGATGACTTTAAATGGGCTGGTATGTACAATAAATCCCTAAAATCCCCCATATCTGAAAGTGGAGAATCTGGTAAAGTGGAGAATCTGGTAAATGGCAACAAGAAAAGTCTCATTAAAATTATTTCAACCAAATAAGATTAGCTTTTGGGCATATGATGTCCAAACGTTTTGGTTAGATAGAAAACGTTATATATCTTGACTTGCCAACATTTTCTTGATGAGTAAATTGTTACAATGAAGTCACTTTCTTTGCCAGAGACAAAATAACAATAATCAGTGTTGGATTTGTGAACATTCAGTAGAGGGTGTTGTCATTTCTTTTTGAAGACTCTCTCTATATAATGTCTACAGTATGCTGAAGGCAAGACAGAAGAAAAATAAATAGATAGACGTTCCGTCAATGTTAAAACGTTTGGTGCACTAACGTTAGCCCGACCTGTCGCCAGCTCAAGTAAGCAATAACAGCGTAGTTGGCAAAGCAGGAAAAGTTAAACACTCACCACATAGCTTGAACCATTCTCACCCGAACGAACCTCCGTTTCGGGTATGGAAAAATGCATTTTAGCTCCAAGCACACCGTGCAGTCAGTAGATAAGTCCTTAAACGCCTCCACTGAAGGCTGGGGTGGCAAGCGAGGCACCACAGCTTCCCAACAAAGTCCACTGCGGTGACTCTCTGAAGCCTACGAAGGAGGAGGCGGCTCCGACACGGTCCGTTCGCCGGTTCGGAGGTCCAGAGACGGCGGTACCAAACTAGGGTCGAGAGCCTAGCATTCTACTGAGCGGACAGCTGCTCATGAATGCTCTAAACTTCTCCCACGTCAGTGTTAAACTTTTCTGTCTGCTGTTCACACAGCAGCCATGTTTGCAAGTGTTGGGTAATTACACCTTTACTGTGCGCATAAAAATGTCTGTTTCATCGCTCCACGTTGTTGGTTAAAAAGAATAAAACCACCCACTTTTAAAAACGGAGCTTGAAGGCATTCGGGTATTTCGGTTCATTGGCACAAGAGGATGAAGTTTCTGGAGAAAATGTGCAGTTGGTTCCTGCAGTCCCTCAAGCGTCGCACACACAGCGGTTGGTGAACCTTCCCAAATGTGCGACAGTGCCGCTGGTTTTGACTCTGGTGGCTTTCAGAGCTCCTCCGTTTGCTAAATAAAATCTACAATGTTAATATACCGGAGAAATGTAGCAATGGCCTCTGAAAACGCAGATGTGATGCCTCTACAACCTAGCCACTCAGTCCACAGTCAAGGTATCCACTGCTGGCCCATCAAGAAGCATTTGCAACAATCTTTCTGGGCTAAACCATCTCATCCTGGTTTATAGGGGTTGCACGAGCGTCAAGATAGCGCGTTAAAGTCGCCGCCATATTGTGAGTGACAGTTCTGTACAAAAAGGCATGCTGTGACTGGACTGCCTGTCTTGTCGCTGTCCAAGCTCTTCTTTTCCATATTAGATACTATCTAAATAACTGAGGGAAAAAAGGAAATATATCACAAATGATGACAGTACATTAGTTGTTCTGGCAACTCATCCTCTGGACATGCATCTCAGAGGTTATTCCTGGAATCTGAGACACTACAAGTTTACTTGCACCACGGAGTAGATTTTTACTGATGATTTACTAATAGCCTTCAACATGTCTGAATGTTTCAACATTTTTTTAACAAAGATGTGCCTATATGGACAGACCCTGATTAATTTGCACAAAATGAAATTGTCCTATACCTGTACCTACACATCATGAAAGAGAACGTTGACGCTGCTATATGTTTGCACTCTTATGATTTGCAGATATAGTTAATATTTATTTCTCACTGACAGCCGTGAGTAAAATTAACTTATACTTTTGTGTATAAAATTATTGATGAACTTTTTTATTGTATGTTAATTTTAGTAGTGCTTTAATACAGAGAGCTCTATGAACTGGACACTCACAATATGGCAGACGCATCAATCTGCCGTTTTTTTTTGTTTGTTTTTTTTTTTGTTTCTTTTTACAGGGACAATGAAGCCAATGATCTAAATGTCAAAATAAGACTTGCACTTTCCTAAATTATTCTATTCATACTAAAGAAAATGTGATATACATAACAGTTAGTTATGCACTTAAAAATTACATTTCCTCATGCCGCACATAAGACGTTCTCTCTGTTTTTAGTACAATCCAAAGTGACACCGAAAACCTGTCTAAACGAGTTACTTCTAAAAAAAAAAAAGTTGCAGTTTTAGTCAAATAAACCAATAGACAATTAAATATTTATGATATATTAATATTCTCCTGCTTGATTATAAGCAATCACAAATTTTCTATGTTAAAATGTTTTGTCTTAAAACATAAAAATACTCTCTGATAATTCTTGCACAATTAGATAGTCTTTTTTTTTTGTTCTATAAACGCCAAAAACAAAAGGTTAACTTACATTAAATCGTCCTTATCGGCATAATTGCGACGCAAAATGACCAGCTTCCCGTCACGTGAGCACGTCACGTGATTCCAGTCAATAAAAATGAAAGCCCTTCTCAGCTGGTGTGAAGCTGTCGCTCTTATTTTTGTCCTTAAGTTGTATTTTAACGCGAGTTATCAGCTGACTGGGCTGCAGGTAAGACTGGTGTGCTCCACAATGGAGTGATGTCGCAACAAATCCTGATAAACCAGCTTGTTTTGGTGGGTGTATGGACCTTGTAGGGGTTGTCAGGGTCTGTTGTTTACTACTTTTTTTGTGTGTGTGTTTCAAATCACAGGTATGCTCGCTCTGTGGTGGTAATGTCCAAAACAACACCTACGTGGGTGACTTCTGCTCTTCATCCGCTGGACGGATTGACAAGAGGTGCTGTTTAGCGAATGATAACTCAAGCGACCCTGAACGCATCATCGGGTATGACAGAAATATCAATACTGTCCTCAAAGTGAATATTGAAAGGCTTTTTTATATATATTTTTTTTCTTGTTTTTGGCCTTAAACGTATCCAAACTAGTATAAAAATACAAATAAAAAATAAAGGGGAAAAGAAAACAACGTATTTGTTATGTAGAATTTCACAATTCACCTGACATTATCAATGTAGTCAAAACGTGGAATTTTAGAATGAAGTTTTAGTAAATTGTATATTCATATTTGGTTTTGATTTATCAGGTTGGATTTATCCAGTTGTTCACTGACTCAAGTGGAAGACATTTCAGGAGCATCCACAGTGGTGATGATGTAAGTACATTACTATATGAAGAAAAAACATTCATAATTGACATCTTTTCACATTGTGGACACACACACACACACACACACACACACATATATATATATATATATATATATATATATATATATATATATATATATATATATATATATATATATATATATAGCATGAGACAAAATTCAAATATTTGTAGAGCCAACGTTTGCTGCAGTTAGATGTTTTAAAGCCCATATAACAGCTTTCAGTCTGAAATATTTAAAAATGCCTTGTAGAAATTATGTAAAGCTTGGTCAGACTGGTTGGTGAGAACTTTCCAAAAATGCAATCATAAAACTTAGACATGTATATATATTTTTTTCTTCTTACAAGTCAACATTTTGGAGCACTTGATGCTGTTCTGCTAAATAAAACACTTGTGTGAATAAATTATACAGTGCTGAGTACAAATACACATATTTTTTGACATTTTGCACATTTAATGTAAAAATGTCACACTTATTCTTGGGTAGAAGCAATATTCTTAAAAATGTCTTTCTTTGTTCTTTATAAGATTTATTTATTTATTTATTTTGCAGAGATCTCTCACTGAATCCCCTTACCAACATCAGTGATAAAGTCTTCCAAGGATTTCTTGACCTAAAATTCCTGTAGGTGTCTTTGAAATGATCATTTTACCTGTTTAAATTGTTTTTTTGTTTTTTTTTAATTTTCAACAAATATCAATGTGTCTTCAGGATTTTACCAGAGCACCTGGCTTGTCCAGGTGGGAATGCTTCATGGCAATGGATGGAAGTAAAGCAAGGGAAGCAACTTTGTAAGGACCAGAAAAACATGTGCAACCAGACAGGAAAGATGTGTAGGTCAACGTTCAGCAGATATTTGTTACACAACATGTCTGAGACATCTAAAAACAATATTTGTTTTGCAATGTGTGACCTTTGTTGACATTTATTGGGAATCCATAGCTATGAATTGCCCAGAAAACTCCCTTTGCGGCCCCTACGGTCCTGGCTTCTTTCAGTGTCACTGTGTTGAAAATTACCATGGATACAAGTGTCGTCGGCAGGTGGGTACTTGGAGACATTTTTTTTGTTTTGTTCTTGTATTATTACCAAATTAACATAAGCACAAAAACCTTTCAAACAACACATTTTTAAACTTGCTTACAGGCGGAATTCCCAGCTGTGAAGGTTTTCGGGCCTCTTGCAGCATCCACAGTTGTCATCTCCTTCCTGTTGTGGATTACCCAGAGACGCAAAGCCAAATCACTCTGAGTCTGAGCTGCTTTTAATCTGACAAGAAACAGACTCCTGAAAGAGATAATAATGCTGACAAAGCCCTGCTCGGCACCACACTCTGGTGTGAATATTTTACAAATGTTACTATATTCGTTTTCAGGGGCAGCTGTGTTTTATTTTGGGGAGAGAAAAAAACTGACATTTTTATTACAATTAATGTGATATAATTTTTAGGTAAAAACATGCATTTTAAAATATGACCTAATTTTTTGACAAAGATTACCACAGGTGATGCTTTTTTAAAGTAAACATGCAGATAACAGTGAAAACTGAATTATTCTGTCAAACAAGTGCTAGATGTGTGCGAGTTTACACCAGAAATAATGTTTTGCATGTTTAGAAAAAGTTGAGCAACAGCTCATTGCATGCTGACTTTGTGTTTTCATACTTCTTTGGGGGGGTGATGGTGCTGCCAAGAAGTGGCTGGTAAGAACAGGGGGCAGCGGGTTAGCTGTGTTAAATTTAAACCAAAACTGCAAGTTTAGTTGCACTTTAATGATCATTTTTACCTCTTTAATTCAAAGGTGTTATTGTTTAAATGTACTCAGGATGAAAAAATTGATGTTACAATGTTTGTGTCCTGCCCTGGCAGCTTAGACAAACGGGTTGGTGGATCTGGCTGCCCAGCAGTGTCACAGCAAATTTGTTGTACAATCTTTGGAGATTTAATGGTCCTGCTGTTGTATAATTGCCTTTTGTTTTTTTTAAATTTGGCTAACTGACAACTATTCAAGGGTCCAGCATGGTCAGACTGAAGTCGAACTGTCGATGTGTGGTCTCAAGGTTGCAGGATGTTTTTGTAAACACCGTTCAAAATCCACAAGACTTTGAACGCAGCCCCTGTGAAACCCGTCCTGCTGCAGAATAGGTCATGGTGTTTTGTCATGTGTGGCTTACGACACTAAAGTAAACAGAGGTCATAGCAAAGAGGAACAACTATTACGGTTTCAGAAGTGGAGAAAATAATGATTAACTAGGTGTAATGTCTCATTTTATTTTAGTTATCGGAAGCCAACAAAAAGAACAAATGTCCTCAGTTGGACATTTGCCAGCTGCAATGGACCAGAACCAAACAGGGGGAGTTTAGTGTTGTCTCCAACAGTCTGTACTTCCTCACAGTCTGGGATAATTCCTCTGTAAAGCTCACCCTTCTGCTCTCCAGCTAAAATAACAGCTTCTGAAAGTTGATTAGTTAGGGATTGTCACAAGCAAATACACCCAATTCAGACTTCACACACAATAGTTTTGCACATAGAGAGGGGTGAAAAGTTCACCAGTGAGGTTGTGACAATGAGGGATGGAAAACAAGGCTGAGAACAAAATGATTGCGACAATGAGAACCAATTTCGGCACTTCGACTCAACCATGCAGGGCCCTCAGCTCTCTCTTTCATGTGTTTCAGAGTGTTGTCCTGAAATACACTCCACGATCTGGATGTGTCTTTTCTGTTGCAACTCTCTTTATCTTGTTTAAAGTTCAGAGTTTTAATAAAGATTTTACAATAGTGTATTATTTTCCTCTTATTAGATATTTTACTGCTTCAGTGTTAGATCTTGTTAGATGTTTGTTTCCACTTTGTACTGCCCAACAAAATGAAATATTACCCAGGATATCAAGGTTTTTCTGGAAAATGATAATGAAATGAAGTTTCTGCAAAGCATTAAAAGTCAAGATTTTAAAGCCTCCTCACTTTTCCTTTGCAAAATGGTGCTACATTGTGCTGAAAATAAACAGATTTTGCTCTTGATCGATGTTTTGACACCATATTTTATAATTGGCAGAAGCAGCGGGCTAACTCATGGGTTGAAAAATGGCAAGTTAAAAGTCTATGGATGGGTCAGTTGGCCTGACATAAGACTCTTAGCAGCATTTGCCTTTTTAGAACAATCCTTTTTTTAGTATTCCAACCAATGAAAATGTATTTTTTTTTAAAGAAAATAAAAGTGTTTTGTTGTCAAATTCTGCAACTTCTTGTAGGATGTCGGTCTTTGTTTTTCTTGAAACAACTCATTTGCAGAACTGCATCCCACACCAGGCCATCAACCAAAGGTATCTGCCTCTCTCAGAAACACTAGTGAGCATGCTCAGAGGTGGGGAGTGACTAATTACAATTACTTACAATAACTTTATGGAAAAAAATTACTGGTAAAATTTGTGCATGGACTCCTCACTATGTTACTGTGGACAAGCTTTATTCTAATGACATTTTCTGTCCGCTGAGTCTGCTGTGATATATGGAAGTACTTTACCCTGTACTAACAGTAATGCAAATATACTTTAAGTATAAATCTTATTTTTTATGAAAGAAAAAAGTATTTGGAAAAATTTCTTCTACGCAAATATTATTTGTATATTTTTCTTTTAATTTTGACATTAAAATACCAGTATTTGTACATATCTACATTTCTGTCTGATGAAATTTTTAATTATTAAGTGAAATGATCTGATCAGTTATTCTGATCTGGTAATTGAGCAGCCTTCTATATAAAATATTACTCTTGCATATTTTCTTGAACTATTACTTTTTCTTTGAGTTGAAGTAATGTAATGCAACTCATTGAGTACATTTTTTCCCCACAACTGTGCATGCTTCACTCTGAAGATCTGCACTGGTGACAAGTATATCTTAGTTGGCTTTCCTTAGGGGACAGTACCCACCAACTTTGATATTTCTTTGCATCAATTATCTCCCCTCCCAAGTTCTTGATTTGATAACTGTGATTTCTAAGCACCAATCTATCTTCCCATTAGATATAAAGCAATGATGACACAAATAGTGATCATTGTCAGTTAAAGAGCAATTGAAAGCATTACTCCTTTGCAATCAGGAATCATGACCATCATGTAGGAATAATGTGTTTCTTCCAAGTGGCTGAGGATCATGTGAGTGTCAGGTTGAATTACCTTTGTGCTTGTTTAATAGACCAGGTCTTTAAAATAAACCACATTTATGGAGCAATAACATTCCTTTCAGAGGCCCAAGTTTCAGTTTCAATTACAAAACCTTTAATGGTTAGCTTATCATGACACCCATAAATGACCTCCCTGGCATGACTAATTAATGTCTAAAAGCTCTTCTTTTTAAAAGACCCACAAATAAAACACAAATGAAGCTCATTTAAAAGTGTATGCCATTTCAGATATACATTTATTGCATGCTAAAAGCACGACCTTGCGCATAACCATAAGCTGATATCGAGGGCGCTCACTGATCGACGTTTTTGACCCGTAGCACCACGGGGACCGAAGTGCACGGTATCATTCCCAGTTCTGTGATGACCAGATCCACGAAGTCAGGAGGCGTCACATCATAGACGAGATTCAGCAGACCCAGGGAGAGCTCCTGTTGCCAGTTCTCCAGCTGGGTCTGCCCATTACGTGTCACGATGAGGTCATCGGGGTCATCTGGAAAGGACCAATGAAGATCAGCCGACAAAGATCGACGCAATGTCCCTCGAGTTAGAAACATAATTTGTTTACATACCCAGTTCATTGGATACAAATGAGTCTGTCTGCACCCTCTCACAGAACTTGTAGGTCTCACAACAAACCAGCACAGGCACGTTAAAGGCTTTGGCCACCAGAGCTATTTGTGAAGTTCCTACTCGAGACATGACGTAACCATTAGCCAAGAGGGCGTGAGCTCCAAGGAACACCTTCGATACCTAAAAGAAAAAAGAAAAAAAAAAATTAGGCGCTTATAACTAAACTTTTTAGCAACTCTGATCAACAAATGACACCAATTTCTGATTACCTCTGGAAGAATGTAGGACACAGCTGAGATAAGGACATATGTGCAACTGATGCCTCTCTGAACCAGACGCCTCAGAGCCTCCCGGCCCTCGAGCCGAGGTCTGCTGTCTACAACTATAACGCGAAACTTCCTATTTTTCTTCAACGCCTCACAGAGGATGTGGTTGACCAGCGAAGAGCTGACAGAAGCAGATATAACAATTTAGACTTTGTGATGTTAGAGTTAAATACGGAAGGAACTGGAGATGGGAGGTGAAAAAGGAAGAGAACGTGTCTAAAAAAAAAAAGCAAAAAAAAAGCCTCTGGGCAAAAAAATCATAATTATTATTCTTTATTTAATACAACAAATTACTGCTTAGTAATAAGAAATATACAATGTAGAGTTAATAGAAAGAACTTGCCCAGATTTCTGAGCCTTACCATCCATAAATGAGGATGACATCTCCATCACTGATTTTTTCTATGGAGGACTCTGCTATAGCTTCAGCAGCAAGAACGATCTTTTCTTTGATGTAAAACTCGATGCAGGAGAGAAGTTTGTCTTTTGCCTAAAATAGAAAAGAGTGCTTTACATTTATGTAATTTTGACTTGTTCATGGAAAGTGAACAGCTTTCCTTTCACTTTATCTTAGCTGGAGCAATAATTGGCTCCAGTTAAGATGCATTGGCTATGGTTCTACTAGTGAAAATCACATCTTTAATTTTTGCAACAAGAGTCTCTGTCAGTGGTTAAAGACACCCTAATGTGGACAAAATAGCCTCGTATTAAGCCTAAATAAGAAATACAAAAATAGAAAGGAAACAGTGGGTTTAATAGTGATGTGGCTGTGATAAACAAACTTTTGAAAAGCTTCAGTACGCAACAACTTAATTAAAGCCAAGTTGAGGGGCCTTTTAAAAACAAACAAAAAACTCAAAACACAAACCTCTTCTTCCTTCCACTGACTGGAAATATTGGAGATTTCTTTTTTGACATATTTGATGGCGTTGCCCATGCTGGCTGACAGAGGGCGACACTGGTTCAAAAAACTGGAAGAAAACAAAAGGCAAATGTTACATTTTAAACAACAACAAAAAATATATATGTATACACGGATGTATTAATAGTTTGGATTGGACAAAAGGTTACAAAGATACTATTACTAATTTTCAATACCTAATATAGGGTTTCAGTCTGTTGACCAAGTCTCTAGACAGCTCCTCATTTGGAGGTGTAGTGTAGTCCCTTATTACCTGCAGAAGAAAAAAAAAACAAGTTAAAAATTAAGCTTATTCTAAATTTGTTCACAGCAAATTATAGAAGTTTCCATACAATTTTGAGATCATGAAATGGCATGACTCTACTGTTCTGCTTCAGTTATACACCCTACAATCCTGTGCAACATTGCTGTGACTGTCACATACCCAAGCAAATACCACATGGCAAAATCAATCCCAAAACACAAACTGCAACAAGATGGAAATAAACATTGGTTGTTAACATAATCAATCAGCCTAGTTTTATTTAAGTGACCAAAACGTTAACTAGAAAGACTGACATCAGCCAATGCCGATATTAAGGCATTGGCTAGGTATCCCTAGGTAGAAGTTTAACAGGTATCCTAGGTAAAAGTCTCAACAGTTTTTGGATCAGCACCTGTTTGAAGGCATGCAGCAGGGCAACGGAGCGAGCATTGGATCCAGCCACAATGCCCTGGGAGTACTGGAGGCCCAGTCGCACAATAGCAGGATGAATCACCGTTGAAGGAATGCTACAAACAGTAAAAACACATGCTGAAGGTTGATGGAGCAGATTAGGAACAAATTTTGAAAGCAAACTAAACAAACTCTTTATAGCAAAGATAAATAAGCAACTACTGAGCTCACCTGAGTTGCTGTGTTAGCGGAGCTTTGCGACTGTACTGGTGGAGATGAGAAAACAAGCTGACTTTGTAGCCATAGTCTGAGCGTAGTGGAATCTGAAATCAAGAGATCAAAAAATAAATATATTAATTTACTCCTAAAATTACACTTACAGACACTGAAAAAGCCAAAAGAAACACATGATTTTTCTATTACTCTCCAAACACAATTACACATGCCAAACTGATTTTGCAGCAGTGTGTTGGGTTATAACAAAAGTCCTGAAAAGCAAGAAACTCAGTTCTGTAAGTGGACAGCAAGACAGCAACAAAGCAAAACAAAAGAAGTAAATCTAGATAGCCAGAAAGACTACAAAAATATAGATGTTAATTTTCAGCAGCAAACATTTTAAATAGTCTAAACTCGACGGCTTATACCTTTTTAGCAGAATTTTGCCCTGGTGTCTGGAAAACAATGTTAATACCATGACATGGTGACTAATTTAGACCTACTCTGAAAAAATTCTAAACAATCAGTAACAGTAAAACTAATATTCAATCATATAACTGAAGGTACAGTCACATGCATTTGTTACTTGCTGTGTGGAACTGATAATTGCACCAAAAACAGAGCATCTTGCAAAACTAATCATATCTCTTTTACAGTTTTTTACATTTTGTCTGGTGATAGCCACAAGTTGCAATGCATTTTATCCCGATTTTGTGTTTGTAGTTGAAACATAATTGAGAAGATCTCAAAGGGTATGAATACTTTCACAAGGTGCTGCTCTTCAATTTTATAAACACATTTATAACATATAAATCAATCTTACCTGTTGCCTTTCCAGCTTCTTGGCCAACTTCTTTAACACGTCTGGATTATCCACTTGAATATGTTCTGGCAGCCTTTTTACCACTGAAAACACAGAGAGAACTTTTTTACTCGTGTTGCCATGATACTTCAGTTAAAGCTGTTTTATCACTGAAACTGTAGTGATAGTGATAATACTTTCGAGTCAGTGGCGATGAAATGCTACCTGGCTGCAGCTCATTCGTGGCTGTTTTCGATTTGCTCACAGCACCTTGTGGTCCTGGATCTCCTTTCTTGCTCTGTTTACTGGCCCTCTCGGCCTCTTGCCGAGCTCGCCGTTCA